CATGGGTTACTTCAAGTAAATGTTTATTTTTTCTTTCTGCTATTCCATTTTGTTGAGCGGTATCACGACATGAAGATTGATGAGAAATACTTTTTTCTTGTAAATTTTTTTCCAAAACTTTATTAAATACTCCGTTCCATTGTCAAATCGAAGTATACTAATTTTTGTTTGAAATTGATTTTCAATCATATTGTGAAAATCTTTGAATAATTTTTCAACTTCAGACTTCTCACGCATTCGATAAATCTAGCAAAGACGAGTATGGTCGTCCATAAATGTCACAAACCATCTTTTTCCTGACATAGTAGTAACATTTGAAGGTCCCCACACATCAGTATGAAATAAATATAATGGTTTTGATGCACGATAAGGTTTAGGAAGATAAGTTGCACGATGACTTTTGGACAAAAAATAACTTTCACAATGAAAATATGCAGAGTCTATATTTTTAAACAACGATTGAAACAGATGTTTTAGATAAGAAAAACTAGGATGGCCTAATCTGTAATGCCAAACTATTATTTGTTCACGAACAGAGATAAAACTGATACTACTAAAGCCTTAACCTTTTTTTATTACTAGATAGATTATCATCAAAATAGTAGAGACCATGTATCATCCTAGCACGGTCAATCGTCCTCCTCGAGCTTTGCTCCTGAAAAGTACAATGAGATTCAAAGACGTTAACACAACAATTAGAATCTTTGGATAATTTGCTTACAGACAAGAGATTGCAGGTAAGTTTAGGAACATAAAGAACAGATTTAAGATCTATTCTTTCTGAGATTTTTATGCAATATATGAAAAACTACCATATGAAATTCTAACCTTTTCATTTCCAGAACATGGTGAATAAGATTTCAATGAGTGCGAAGAACTAGTCAGATGGTTAGATGCTCCTGAATCAATGATCCAGGAAGCGGATGAATTTAGACAACAAGATAGAGCATTAGGTTTATTACCTGTCTGAGCCAAAGAAATACTAGGAATACCAGATGATGAATTGGATTTTATCTGTGTAAGAAGATGCTCCATTTGCTCTTTAGTAAATGGGTTAACCTTGGCTTCATTGGCAGTAAGGGAAAGCTCGGCCAGATCTGTCACCAGGCTTGTTGCTCTTCCAATTTACTGGTTTGCCATGAATTTTCCAACAACTCTCCCGAGTGTGACGTGGTTTGTTGCAATTATTACACCAAACCATGGTTTGTCATCATTCCTGCGTTGGTAAGTGATGACTTTGCTGGAATTTGTATCGGCAGCCACTAAAACAGAGCTTTCAATAGCAACACCGGGTCCTTTCTTGCTTAGCATCACATTCCTTCGACTCTCCTCTCTCCTTACCTCCGAAAAGACGTCATTAATTGAAGGAAGGGGTTGTCTTCCAATAATTCTTCCCCCTTACTTGATCAAATTCAATGTTGAGGCCAGCAAGAAATTTAAAAATCCGATTGTCCTCCACAATTTTCTTGTGATGATGGCTATCTTCCACAGATTTCCATTTATACGTATTGAATAGATCGAGATCTTGCCACACTAGTTTCAGAGAGTTGAAATACTTGGTGACATTATCCTCCTTGACGTATTTCACCAAGTTTGAGACTTAACTCAAAAATTTGAGATTGATTACCCAATTCCGAATGCATTTGGTTCACATTCTCCTAAAGCTCTTGTACTGTTGGATAGCACATATAGTTAAAGCTAATATCCTCTTCCGTGGAATTCACAAGCCATGTCATGACCATGGAATTTTCAGCATTCCAAGTCACATAGGCTAGATCATTTTCTGCAGGGGCTAGTTTTTCACCAATGAAGTAGCCCATCTTCCCATGCCTCCGGATGTACATGTGTACCGATTGAGACCATCGCAAAAAATTAACACCATTCAAGCGGATAGTGGTAATTTGAACAGAGTGAAACTCGAAGTTGGTTCCATTACCTTTTGACGGGTTTGCAGCAGAGGAGGATGGTCGGACAACAACGGACTCAATTGAAACATCAGACATGGTGCTACAGCCAAGACAGAGAACATAAAACAGAAAAGAGAAACATAAGAGGGAAGAACAAGGAGGAGTCAACAAGCAATTGCTGGCTCTAATACAACAAAAACAGAGAGAATAGTTTGGGAATGATTTTCTCATATATTGATTCTTTTTTTACTTACACGGATTCTTACTTATAGGAATTACAAGAAATCTAAACTAAGAAAAGAATAACTAATTAGTTTACCTAATAAACATACATTCCTAATTTATAATCATGAACTAATCATTGCCTAATTTATAACTAATTTACAGCTATTCAATCTTGGTAATTACTGCCAAATATCTTTCGGATTTTCCAACAATTTCGCATTAGAAATACATCGTTTTTGATAAAATTATTCAATTATTTTCGACGGTCGCTATTATATTTTTATTAACTGTATATTTTTACTAGCTAATTGTACTATTTCACGCATGTACCATAGATCCTATGAAAACTTAATAACACGTGTGCAATAACTTAATAACAATTAAATTCGTGTCCTACTACTATTATTATTATTATTATTTTTATTTTGAATACTAATTCTACATTTTTAGTTTCTATTAAAATTTGATATTTTTTTTATTCTAAATATGTTTTTTAAAAAATTTATTTTTAGAATCTTTAACGTTTGTGTGAAGATTGTGAAGTATAAAAGAATTAGAAAATGGTGAAATATTAGAGAGCTTGCAGTAATTGATAATGTTTTAAAAATAGATAGATGTAAATATGTAAGTAAAGAATGTGGAATGTTTTGGAGAGTAAATGTCAATAGTTGTTAGCTATCTATTAAGAAGAAATATGTCTATAAATATGTCACCTTACGCTTTATGTATTCATGTGATAATAACTCTTAACTTTGGTACATTTATGTTACTGAAGTACACAAGATGGTCCAACATTGAATGTCAACTATTTTTTTTAGTCACATAATATAGAATGGATATTCAATAACTTATACACCAGAAACTTAATAACACTTAGCATGTACCAAAATGCATCTTATCTACCAGCCAAAAAAACTTTAAATTCATGTGCCACTATTATTATTATTATTATTATTATTATTATTTTGAATACTAATTCTATATTATAGTTTCTAAATATGTTTAAAAATATTCTATTATAATCTTATTGATATTTAGTTAAAAAAAAAAAACAGATTTTATAAAAACTAATTGGGTATTTTGGGGGTATAATAAATTTTTTGAAATGAAAAAGATAAATTCTTTAAATTTTTTTATTTTGAAAAGTGAAAAGATAAATTCTAATGAACTTGAAAATGAAACTCATAGATAATTCTTTTTAAAAATAATTTTAAAATACCAAATAAGTAATAGCCAAGTTGGTACAAACTTGTCTTTCTCAAAGGAGAGGTCACTGTTCAAGCTTCAGCAGAAGGTGTGAGTTTGTTTTATCATTCAAAAAGTTAAGGTTGTTAGCGTGATATTTGTGATTACATATATCCTCAAAGTAGTAAAAAAAAAAAAAAAAAAAAATTGAATATCCTCAGATTTAGTCTTACCTTTTCTTCTTCTTGTCTTTCTTTTCTCGATCCCTAGGTCTCTTTGGACATTCCAGGTGACCTTTTCATTTTTTTTTTTTTTTAAATTTTTGCCACAGTTAATACAGCAAGTGGCTTCTCTGTTCCTACAGTGTTCTCTATCCTTAGAATTGCCTTTCTTACTAGATTTTGAGTTGAATTTAGATTTCTACAGATTTTTTTTATTATTAATTTTTTTATAGTACTAAGCAGGGCAATATTGTCCTCTGTTTTACTTCTAGAACTATTACTAGGTAGACTCTTCCCTTGGAGCTTTCTGGTAATTGTAATAATATCCTTTGAACAAGGTACATATGGAACCATTTTTCTTAAGACCTTTCATTTTTTTTTATCATGATAAATTAGAGTGAGGGAGATTTAAAAGAGGGCAAAACCATTCAGATCGCTCTACCAACTAAGTTACTGAGTTTTCAATATTTTTGAATAACCCACTCAAATACCAATTGATAATTCGTATAACTAGAGCCCGAGACTATGATAGCGAGTTACACAAGGATCACTGATGTAGTAGATCTAAAGGTGGAGTGAATCCGTCTTGTCAAACTAATTACCGGTTTTAACTAATTTTCAAATTAAAACTAATTGAACAGAAATTATAACTCAAAATCATAACAAATAGTGAAAATCTAATCAAATTAGCCTGGAAACAATACAATGAAAAACCCTAAATAGAAAAAACCACAGGACTCAATCCAAGACGAACCAAATCCATTATAAGAGAAAATGAATTACAACCTAAATTACAAGATTCTTTTCTACCCCAATATTTTCCTGATTACCTCTCAACACGTAGAAGACTCTAAACTTTTCCTCAAAAGCCTACGAATCTTAATTTGGTGAGTGCATAAATGTGCCAATTTATCTTTATACCCTTGTAAAGAAGATTGCCAGAATATTCTTGAATGTAGCATGAATTCCATTTTTAACCTTGGAAGGTAACTTACAGTAACCCACTTTCGAATTTTTTTAATCGAAGTTAGAAATTGAAACAAAAATTATAGATTCGATTTTAATATGCAAAATTTTCCAACCTAACCACTGCCCTTCGATTTATGGTAACAAGATAAACCTCACACATATCATTTATAAACTCGGATATTTCTGCGCCTTGTGAGAGTCGAACTCAGATATTTTTGCACCTTGTGAGAGTCGAATTCATGAAGTCCGAGTTTACAGCGCGTTCCTTGTGACCCCTTTACCTCTAGGCCATCCTGCGTGCGGGTTTACCATGTCTTTTTTATTTTATCGTTCTTGACGTGCCACAGTATGATAAGTGATTAGCTCCAAATTGTTTCCTAGTTTTCTCCCTGGAATTGAAATTCATCAAAATCCATTTCCAGATGATTATAATGGCAAAACAATTTCAATTCTGTGCATCCAAACACATTAGTAGCTAAAAATACACAAGTGCTGATGCCAAAAAATGATCAGATTCCCACATTTTACAAAAAAAATGGATATACAGGATAATGTGTTGGGAATAATGACAGCCACAGATGATGACATTCCCTAGCATGGAAACATAGCTGTTTTTGAGTGAATTAAATATTTATGACTGTACAAGCTCATCTGCGAAACATTGTCACATGGTTGGACGACTGATACGTTCAGACTCGACTATGCTGCCAAAATGGTTAGAAAAAGATGCCTTCGAAAACAAACAGCAATCCCAGCTCGGCCTGCCCCAAACACAAAATTACAAGACCAGCTGAGCCAGAAAAAGAATCATCCATCACCGTCATCTATGGAGAACTGCTTTCAGTTTCAACTGGCAGAACCGTGTAGATAAACAGAAAACATTAGCAGGATCAAACTAAGTGGGGCTCGAGAATTCTAACTTAAATGCATTGAGTTGATACAAAAAGGTATCAACATGTCTTCACAAAATCAACCATCTGGCAAAATAGAAAGGAAAAAAAGAAAGTATAAGGACAGTAAACACGGGAGGGGACAATTTGATAAAACTCTGAATGATATAAAACAAGACAATCAACAGGTGAGTGTGGAGACAAGAAATTTAAAAGTAAATTACTACGACCTCTCCAGAGGTTTGGAGTTTGAAATTAGCTTAAACTTCGAAAAAAATAACTCTGAAAACAAACCTAACGGCCTACACATTGCATGTACTTCACTATTTAAACCTCAATATGTATAATAAAATAATAATAATAAAAAAATAAATTAAGATCAAATGACAAATTGCCCCCAATGAGAATTCCATCATCTCTTATGTTCTCTCTCTTTCCATTTTCCACGTCAGCTGTCGCAGGCTCCACTTTTCTACCACCACCACTACCTCTCCACAGAGCAATCAACCGTGCCAACTGCCAATCATTGCTGCCACTCCCCCTCCATCATCAAATGTAAACATATATATCTAAAACCATCGCCTGATTTGGGGATGGGAATAGCATTAAAGAATTCATGAGTTTTTTATTCACGTGAGGTGATGCTAGCGTTGTTGAACTGGGTCTTCTTTTAGGGAGTAGTAGCAGTGGTGAAGAAGAGAATAATGGTAAAGAGGAGGGCCAACTGTGGTGGTGGAGACCCATAATGGTGTTGTGGTAGTGGCTAATACTGGAGGAAGGGTACAGTGAGAGAGGAACACAGTCGTAGTTTGTACATTCTGAAACGCAATATGGGTTGAGAGGGTAAAATTTGTTATAAAAAATTAAAAAATAAAAAAAATAAAAATAAAAGACTTGAATTTTGTGATGTTTAAACCTGAAAGTGATGCAAGCAATTGGAAGTTTCAGCACTTGTAAGAAGAATTAGACCAAGAATTAGATCAAGTTGACTGTGCCTGGTGGTGGTGATGGTGATGGTGGTAGTCGTAGTACTGAAGATGGCAGTAGTCAGTAGTAGTATTAGTAGCAACAGCAGCAGTAGTAGTAAACAAAGCACTATCATGGCAACTTTATCACCACCATCATCCTTGCCTTAGTATCATTGAAATGGAATCAAGACATGAAGTCTCTTCTTCATGTTTCCTAATATATCTAATCTAATTCCTTAAGTATTATTACCCATCACTGCAACTTCTCAATCCAATATTAGCTATAGAATCAAGTAATGAATTACCTTCTTCATGTTAACCTAATATATCTAATTCCACAAGTTTTATTACCCATCACCGCAAATTCTCAATCCAATATTACCTAACCCCCAAAAAGTTTAACACATTCCATTTTAAAAATCTAAAGACCATTATTATAATATTTCATGGCCTTTAAATTGAACTAATGTCAAACTTTTTCTGAACATAAAGGAAGCGAAAGACGGGAAAACTAACAAAACTAGTTTACTGCTATATTTGCATGAAGAGTAACCCTGTGTTAACCTGACCTTTAGCTCACTACAGTACATGAACAGTTGTAGCTAGAAAGGTCGCAATGTTCTGCCACACAATAAGCAGAGAGAAAGACGGTGTCTTTCCCCTCCTTCAACCATTCCAGTAACTCAACCAGTCTTTACTCTCGAATTTTCCGTTCTTAAAACCAACCTAAAAGGTACATGAAGGTTACTGCTTCAAAGCGTAAGAGGATAATTTAAGTATCCCAAACAAATTCAGCAAGGTCCCCCACAAGCAAACAAAGGTAAATGAGACACTAGGCTACTGTCCACACCAAAATCTTGCACTTCAAAGCAAGAAATGAGGCCCCCTGTAACATTCTGCAAGTTCATCTCTTCCATTTCCAGAACAAATAGAAGAGGGGAAAGTGCAGTCCCCTAGAACTCCTCAAGGACCTCAATGGAACTCCTCATTGATAATAACTGGAAAAAATACCAAAGAGGTGCAACACTAGATCTGGACCTTCGTCTATGATTGGCAGCAGTGCGGCATGGCGTGGGGAACCCCATCCCTATATCCCCATTTATGGAAGAAGCCCACATCCCTCTCCCGTGTCTGTTTTCTTTAAGGTGGTTTTTATAATATTATTTGATATGTTGTGATAGTAACATGTTTGATAAATCATTATAAAAAATATAATTATGTATAAAAGTACACAGTTATGGATTTAGTTTTATAAATGCATTTAATATATATATTTTTTGATAAGTTATAAATGCATTTAATATATTTTAGGAATGAAATTGAAAATAAAAGATATTATTGTATATTTAATACAGAAACCGGGGCAGGCCACCAGTACTCACCCCCTCCTCCTCTCTTCTTTCGCCCAATCCCTATTTAAATTCCCCTACCAAACCGGTTCTATTAGGGGAGGGGCAAATTCCTATCCCTACCTACTTCTATCCCTTTATCTCATCCTACTTGTCACGTATGCGATAAAGCTGTTCTGAACGTTTATTAGCTTCCTCAACATTCTACGAATTCAACACCTTATATGCATTCATATTCTCCTACTGCCTACAAAAGCATCATGCTAATAAATTATAACAAGTTATAAAAAGCCAGTAACTTTTACAAGCAAGTTGCCTTCTTAAAATTTTGTTGTTCTATCTATCCCAAAATGGCGGCTTCAAATGATCAAATAAGTCAACAAAATGAAAAGAAAAAATATTCTGAAGCAAACTGCAAGAAGCCGATACTGAGTAAGAAATTAAAAATGATAGTTACACGTACCTCATGTCTTGGAATTTGTCCGCACGAAACTAAGCTGGGCCAAATAATTGCTCTCAGCAAAATCATGTAATGTACGGTGTGCTCGTGCCCCTTCACGATCAGTTTTTCCAAACTCTTCCTTCAAAAATCTTCTACACTCATCAGCATTCTGCAAGGAGTATAAAGAACATGAATAAAGACAATTCCAGGCTGAAATAAAAATAAATCAGATGACAATAAAGTACACTGAATGGCCAAAAAGACAAGGTGTAACCTAAAGAATAAGGGTCTCCACGGGTTACATTAACATAATTTGTTTGATAAGTAATAATCGATTAGAAGAGCGTTCAAGAGGGGAACGCGTCCCAGATACAAGAACGCGTTCAAGAGGGGAACGGGTTACATTAACATTTTAAACCGTGGAAACCACCATTTCACATATACAAATAGCCGTCACGCATTTTTTGGTAGCTAGTTCAAACCATTTGGTATGCAGATGATACACACTTTACTAGGTGAGGGATAGGGATGGGTTTGTAAATGCCATCGCGCATTAGGACCCTTTACAGATAGGGACGGCTATTGAAGAAATCGAATCAAACAATCCACAAAAATGCAAAACCAAAGAAGCCCAAGGAGAAGAATCGTGTTGTTCATTGGTAATTGAAGAAAGAGAACGAGCAGATTGAACGATTAATTTAATTTCTATTTCTTGTTATTGTTGAATTTCGTCATCAAGATGGATTGCCCTTACGCGGTGCGGTCACTTTTGCAATTAAATTTCCATAAGCTACCCCACTAGGGTGGGCGAGGAATGGGTTTGTTAGCGTCAATCAGCCCGTGTCACATTTAGTACCTTATCTTCATATAGTTGGTCTCAAGCTTGACAGCAAGCTTGACAGCCAGCCTATAACTTTTGTCAACACCGATCTGAACATGAATCCTAGGAATATACAAGTAAATGCTAGGTCCCTTTAAGTGATGCATTGCATCAGCTTTCATATATTTTGAGAAATGGACAATTCGGCGTCAGAATACAGTAGAAAGTAGGCTAGGATTCTTGCATTTTTCTGGATGAGTGTGAGTAAAGAAGTTAGCCCAGGACAGTAGGCTTAGGATGTGGACTTGGAATATAGAATCATTAAAAGGTAAAGTAATACAATGGGTAGACACTATGATTAGAAGGAGGGTTAATAGGGTATGTCTACAAGAAACCAAGTGGGTGGGAGAAAAGGCTACATAAATTGAGCACACTTATAAATTTTATGATACCAAAAAGATCGACATAGAAATAGAATTGGTGGAAACTATGATCAGCAGGAGGGTTAATATAGTATGTCTACTAGAAACTAAGTGGGTAAGAGAAAAAGATACAGAAATTGAGAACATGTATAAATTTTATGATACCGAAAAAGATGGACATAGAAATGAAGAAGGGATAATCATTGATAAGAATTTAGAAGATGTTCTAACTATTATTAGAAAAAAGGATAAGATAATATTAGTAGAACTTGTTTTGGAGGAAATATATAGTTAACATAGTTAGAGCTTATGCAACCCAAGGAGGATTAAACAAAGAAAGTAAATCACGATCGAGGGAAAACCCAAATGACAAAAAATATACACAGGATGAGGCTTTAATGTTTATGTAGGAAAAGAGTATCGAGGGTATGAGATGGTACATGGTGGAGTGGTAGACACGGATTTGGAGATAGAAATGACGTTGGGGAGGCTATCTTAAACTTTGCGGTGGCATATAATCTTATAATTGAGAATATCAATGTTATAAAGAGATACGGACATTTATAACCTTTAAAAGTGGATGAACTATCAATGTTATAAAGAGATACGGACATTTATAACCTTTAAAAGTGGATGAACTATGAATCAAATAAAAATTTCCTGACTAGAAAAGTACATCAACTAACAAGCAAAGATTGTAAGATTATCACTTTAAAGAGTTTAACATCACAACATAGGTCACTAATTTTAAATGCATGTATAAAAGGCCAATCTAAAAGGAGAAGTGTAATAACAAACCCACTAACTAGGTGGTGGAATTTAAGAGGAGAAAGTATAATTATGTAAGAACAGAATGCTAAAAGAAGCAACATGAAAATTGAAAGACAAAAAAACTTAATGTGAAATAGGATGACCGAATGTCTCAAAATGGTACCAAAAGATGTAACTGAAGAATAACAAAGTTAGGGTCATTATCGAAGGAAACTTGGTGGTGGAATAAACAGGTCCAAAACAACATAAAAAATAATAATAATAGTAATTGAGAATGTTTTAAGTTTAGCAAAAAAACAAATAAGATATATAAGATAGCCAGAGAAGCTAAAAAAAAACAACGAAATCTTTAAAAAAAACAAATAAGATAGCCAGAGAAGCTAAATATAGAGAATATGATGATCTTTATTCTAAATAAGGTACAAAAGATATAGACACTAATATATATATAAACAAGTTAAGGGATAGAAAAACTAAAGATTTTAATCAAAATAAATGCATCAGGATTTAGTAGAAAATGATGAATTAAACAAACACGAAAAAGTAATGTGAGAAATTGTTGAAAATCATCTAAGTAGTTTAGGCTTAAAAGAATATAGTGACCATAGAAGAGTTAGCCGAAATAAGGCTAAAAAGCTTCATCATCAAATATTTGTAATTCTTTGTAGGCTTTTAAGGTTTCTTCCGTAACTTCAAAAGACTCAAAGAGGCTTCACCTACATAAGGAGCATATCAAGATTATAGATAAGGAGGAACCTCATGAGGAGTATATTGAGCCCTAAGAGGGGCATTATGAAGTTTATGATAATTGTCCATTGAACGGATCACAAGGATTTCCTCCATAAAACTAATTCTTTGTCCACTTTTGAGGTTTCTTCCATTACTTCAAAAGACTCAAAAGATATATTGAGCCCTAAGAGGGGCATTATGAAACTTATGATCATTGTCTATTGAACGGGTCTAAAGATTTACTCCATAAATCCCCTTACGTCTCGTCTCTTGGGTTGTTAGAGGCACTTCGTTTGGTTCCCTTTTTTCCTCTCAGGGTGTGATATGGCTTCTTTTAAGTTTGCTTGGTTACCTTATATATGGCAACCGCTCTTATCTAAATGGCACCCACAAAGGTTTTCCTTCATACACCAACATAATATATCTGATTTCCCACAGGTTTCGTTTTCCTCCTGTGGCCAGTAACCTGAGGGATAGCGTATTTCTTTATAAGATCAAGGAGTGCAAGGTTAAAAAAGTATTGAGGACGACAAAATAAATAAGGGATTTAGGACCAAATGGAATTTCTATTTGGGTTAGAAATGTTTAGGAGATAATGGTGTGTCTTGACTAACAAATTGTTTAATAAGGTAATAAAAACTAAGAGAATGACTAATGAGTGGCACAAAAGAATTTTTATACCTAGAAAAGAAAATAAAGGGGATAACTCCAAAGGGGTTGGCTCAAGTCACTTGACCTTGGTGCCTGAAAAAAAAATAAAGGGGACATACAATGTTGTACTAATTATTATGATTTTAAATTAATGAGTCATACTATAGATGGAGTGATTGAATGACTATGAAAATTAAATGGATTCGTGCCAAAGTGGCCAACGAAGGAGGTTATTTACTTAATAAGGAGACTATCGAAAAGATATATAAAGAAGAAGAAAGATCTTCATATGATTTTTTATTGAATTAAAGAAATCATATGATAAGAAACCTAGAGATCAACTATGGAGGGCATTAGAGAAGAAAGGAGTCACAAAGGGGTATATTGACACAATAAAGGATATGAATGACAAATGTGTGACTATAGTTGGAACGACTATTGAAAACAAGTGAATTTCCAATTACTGTAAACTTATATCAAGGGTCAACATTGAGGCTTGGAGGGGTTGTATAGTGGGGGCCCAAGTTCGTGGTTTCTGGAGGACCGCACCTATGTGTGTTTGGTGGTGTTTATGACTAGAAAGAAATAGGAGATCCTTCAAGGGAAAGGAGAATCCTATTAGGGCGTTGAATTTCTTCATTGTTAGCACTCTTTTTTTTTGGGTCCTATGGAGAAATTGTAAATCCATGGAGGAGATAGGTGATTTTTTGGACCCTTTGAGAGTTTAGAGGCCCTGTTAGGCCTTGTGTATTTTTTGAGGGATGCGTTTCCTTTTTGAAGCTTCTTTTATACAAATTTTACTTATCAAAAAAAATATATCAAGGGTCAACATTATCCTCGTATCTTTTTGCCTTATTTATGGATGAACAAAAAAAGATACATGCAGGATGAGATTCCATGATATATGTTATTTATATAATATTATTTTAATAGATGAAACTACAGGAATAATTGCTAAATCGGAGGTTTGGAGGGAAGCTCTAAAATTAAAACGATTTAAGATAAGTAGGAATAAAAGTGAATATATAACGCAAATTTAGTACATTATAGAAATACAAATAGGAATGCAATAAAGAATGAGGATAATAAGATACCAAAAATTGAACATTTTCATTATTTTAATTTCATTTATTCATAATGAAGGAGAAAATAGAGATGATGTAAACCATAGAATCAAGGCAAATGGGTTAAATGGAGTATGTGTGTGTAGTATATTGTGGGACAAGTCAGTATTTATGGAACAAAATGTTAGGAAGCTAACAAACAATATATGCATAAAGTGAGTACGATTGATGAATGTTGAGCTAGATATTTGGCAAGACAAAATAAAATAGAATTAGAAAACACATTTGCGAGATGATTGAAGTAGGGCCAACTGGAGATAAAATGAGAGAATCGATTAAGATGGTTTTGATAAGAGCAAAGTAAGACCACTAAGCACACCAGTTAGAATGACGTGGTTCGCATTCAAGGTAGTGCTAGAGGGAGGCGAAGACCAACATTAACACAGATAGAGATAGTAAGGAAGGATAGGATAACATGCATTTCGACTGAGGTTATGGCCATAGATAGAGCAAAATTAAAAAAAATAAATATAAATAAAGGATTCATATAACTGACCCCAAGTCTTTGTTGAGTTGAGTTTAAGTGCAACATTTATTCAGTTTGGGGCCCAACAAAATTTTATCCCACCAAAGGCTCTTTCATTAATTACAGAAGTTCAAAAGGTTAGATAGGCAGCTTACATAAAGGCAAGAAATTGGTATAACATTCTCT